GCGCGGATTTCAGTGGGACCAAGATCGATGGTACTCTCGATATGATAACTCCAGTGTCTTAGCTACAAACATGGCTGCAGTAAAGGTGAATTCTTCGAAGCACTCTTCAGCATCAGTGATCTACTGACCACGGGAGTAAATAAACTCCCATTGCTGCTACTATGGCAACGGATCTCGAGCGCTCCGTAACTAAGCGGTTCAAGCCCAACTCTGACTTCTCGATTGCTCCTCTCTAGGCTCGACAGCCTGGCAATGTTTCTGCCCTCTTGGTTCTTTTGGAAGTAGCATCACAGCCACGCACACAGACGGCACAACAGCTAAACGATTGTTTTGTGGCAGTAAACCACGTGCCTTGTGGAAAAAAATAAATGATCGTTCATCTTTAATGCCTTTTTGGTATCCAGCTACCATACCCCCAAATTATGCGCGGGAATTGAGATACTGCCAGGTTGCCCAAGCCTAGACAGACATGCTGAAGTTGGGTTCGGAACGAGACCTCCCAGTCAGTAAATTCGCGCCTTGACCACTGAGCTATCTCGAGTTCACTATCTCGAACAATTAGTCAAAAGGGAGTCCTCGACAGCTTGGAGTAAAAGGATGTGTGACCAAGCATGCATTTCAGTGACTGGGTTAGATAAAGATGTACCATCGAGGTATGGCAAGACGGCTCAAATGGTCAGAGCACGAATTTATTGACCGAAAGATCCGTGGTTTGAACTCGACCTTTGCCTCGACTTCTCCTGTCTGGGTTTGGGCGACCTGGCAGTATCTCAGCCCTCGTGCTTCCCTCGGGTGACACGGCAGCTAGGCACCGGAAGGGTGTTGCAGCTGAACGAACCATCGTGGTAAGAATGAAGTTAGCCTCCTCGTCTGCAGTCACCTTTCCCTGCAGAGGCAGTCCCCAGTAACCGGAAGTGTTTTGTTCTGGAGGAGGGCCTGTACTTTACATTGATTCCCGATGAAATGGTCACTCACGTCCTCGAAGTCTAGTACGCGCACTAAAAAGTTACTTTTGAGTATTGTCATTACCAAGGCCGATAAAGGTAAAGCCACAGTAGTGATGAATAAGAGTGACTATCTTCAAAAGGTCAGGCAACACCTCGCCGATGGACCCTACCGACAAATTACCGGTAGCAGTATTACTTCAATAATGAATAAGAGTAAGGTTGAAGTTGGGAGATATTTAAGATCCGTAATAAACCATTTAGGGTAAGGTAAGTGGTATCGGTTGTATCCAAAAAGTGCGATTCAACCGCGACTCTACGGACTGCCAAAAATCCACAAGGCAGATGTACCGATAAGGCCAATAGTGGATGGTATAGGCTCGCCGCCGCATGAAATGACCAGATTCTTAGCTAGTATACTAAAACCGCTCACGGGCAAATCAAGGACCTTCATTAGGAATTCGTATGACTTTGCCAACAAAGTCGCAGGGCTTCCTTTGGAGATGGACGAAGTCCTCGTGAGTTTTGACGTAATATCAATGTACACAAACATCCCTAGAGCAGATGCTCTGGAGGTAACTAAGAGGTTGTTACTGGCAGACACGACACTCGGGGAACGGACACAGCTCTCGGTGGATGAAATAGTTGAGGGCATAAGAGTGTGTTTGAATCTTGATAAGTTTGTTTTTGACACAACTGTTTACTCACAAGAACAAGGCCTTGCAATGGGATCTCCAATATCCCCAGTTTTAGCCAATATTTACATGGAGGACTTCGAACAAATAGCTTTGGCCGGATATCATTGTCCACCCAAAGTTTTTTGGCGTTATGTTGACGACACGTTTGTTGTAATCAAACGAGACAACGTAAACAGCTTCCACGACTATCTCAATAGTTTAAACCCACACATTAAGTTTAGCATGGAGATAGAGTCCACATCGGGCACATTACCCTTTCTGGACTGTATAACACATAAGGTTGGTGGGAAATTGAAAACGACTGTCTACCAGAAACCAACAGACACGGGAACCGTCTTAAGCTATTCATCAGCACACCCAAAGTCCGTGTACGCCAGCATTGTCTCATCGATGTTTCGTCGAGTTAGAGCGCTGTGCACAGAAGAGATCGACCGGACGGCAGCTCAAATCGAGATTGCCAACAAACTTCAAGAAATAGGATACCCAGTGAGTTTGATTAGACGACAACTAAGGAAGATATTGGTTCCAGTATCTAGACCCAGTAAAGAATGGATTGGCACAGCAGTCATTCCATATAAAGCAGGAACATCGGAGGTTATTCGAAGATTGTTGAACTTAGCCAACATTAGAGTAGCTTTTCAGAAGGGAAAAACGCTACGCTCAGTTTTGGTGCAATTGAAAGATCCCCTGCCGGCTGAAAGGACTAGGGACTGTGTGTACAAAATTAACTGCAACGATTGTGCTAAGGTTTATATAGGACAAACTGCCAGGGAATTGCACACCAGAATTGGTGAGCATAAAAGAAGGATTAACAAGCCACCAAGGAATGCAGAAGAATACCAAACGCTGGTCAAAGACTCAGCGATGGCGGTACATGCCTTAGACACGGGACATAGAATAGATCTGGAGAATGTGGAAGTCTTAAGACGGGGACTGCGATTCACACCACAACGGCTGATAGCCGAGGCGGTGGAAATCACTAAGCATCACAGTGTGAATAGAATCGAGGGTGTGGAGCTAGCGAGCGTATGGAAAGCGGTCTTAGATAAGCCGAGTTGACACGTGACGGTGTGGTTGTCAATCCACTTAGGATCATTAGAAAAAACCGGGGGGTAGGGGTGGAAACCCCAACCGACCAAAGGTCACAGCATCCCTCCTACACAACTTTCTTAGCACTAGCTCACCCACACAGACTAACAGAAGGTTCAAACGAAGTTCAAGAGGAACCATCAAATGAACCGAACCAGAAGAACTAGACCCTAGGCAGGACCCAAACACATGTAGGTTTCCCCACCGACCCAACACTTGTTCAACCACTCTAACACACTAAAATCCCTCGGCCGACACCCAACAGAGATTTAGCTTGACTTAGCTGATTGGTTCTCCTTCCGCCTTAAATCTCGATCAACCTCGGAACCTAGTCACTTGGCCTGACGAAGCTTTTGTGTCAAAAGCGAAACGTTGCCCAGCAATAAATCTACCGATTGTCACCAAACTTTTTCGAAAACTTTTGAGTTTCATTTTTGTGCTACTGCTTCCTCTAATTGCCGCAACATAACAGACATCAGGGTCACTCAAACCCGGGGAACTTCGCTCTATCTGAGCTGCAGCAATCACCCTGAACCACAAGACCACCGCTCACTGCCAAGCGAAACGTGACTGGTGGATATTAGCGACGCAGGGCTTTCCATACCTGGCACACCTCAGTAAGCAAAAGAAGGCGCTCTTCACTGCACCGTCAACTGCAGAGTCACCAACCGTTCCATTCTCTAAGATAACAAACTGTTCGCATACCAACGGGGCGAAGTTCAATGAGGTGCCACGAAATTGTCGATAATAAAATGTGTGAAGACGTCGGAGGTCTCTAGATCGGAGAAGCCAATTGTGCGTCTTAATTAGGACCACCTTCAGTCATTTTCCAGACACCGTGAAGTTAGTCCCTGGAGACTATGGTATAAGTGGCGAATATTGTTCCTGCCTTAGTGATGCGTACATGGGTGCACAAACGACTTATCTACAAGCCTCGGCTTCTTATCTGGTTTCGAAGAGCTAGAAAAGGATGGGAAATCCTGAACCAAGGCTGCACTTCAGAGGTGCAGAGCGCATGTCGAACACATGATCATCAGGCAACGGCAGTGACATCTTTTCCCACCAATCCTGAGTTATGATTTCGATATCCAAGTTCATCGTCCCTTGAGGAGCTAATTCCATAATACTACCTACAGCGAAGTTGAACAAAAATGTGGAGGGAAACAATCCACTGCAGCCTTGTCGGTTGGGGCGAAATGGCCCAAGTGGTTAGAGCGCGAATTTACTGACCGGAAGGTCCATGGTTCGAATCCGACCTCCGCCTCTCGACTTCCCCTGTCTAGGCTTGGGCAGCCTGGCAGTATCCCAGCCCTCGTGCTTCCTTCGGGTAGCATGGCAGCTAGGCACCGGAAAGGTGCTACAGCTGAACGCGCTTTAGGCATCGGAAAGGTGCTACAGCTGAACGCGCTTCCTCGTCGGTCGCGAGGGAGCTTTTGCCTGCCGCGAGGCTTCCACACATTGTAGTGGTGCGACAACTTGTGTACTTGCATGATCCCTTGATCTGTGCTAGGCATCCACGGGGCTTTTTATGCTAGGTCGACCGATAGACATGTCTGAGTGACAGTCTGGCCCTCTGAGTTGCGGGATGCGCGTTTACAGCGACATATTCCCCAGAAGTTTGTAGCATTGGGGTTTTATGCCAAATTCCCGATGTTCATTTCGTTACTGCTGATAACCTTGTCGATCTGGTGTACGTTTACATCTTGGTGATTATCGAAGGCAAGCAGAAAGCGCAAGCGAGGCATGCATATAAAACTAGCGGGGAATCACTACTTCTAGTCTGTAAGAGTTTTACATGCTCTGGCGCATATACCTTCAGACATCTAAGGTTTTCCGTTAATTCTATTCCCATCCTTGTTCAAATCGAACATCCATTCAAAGTACTTAGTGTACCCACATGCTCGTTCTCATCCTTGGGTACGGGTGGAATCGCCCCAACCCATACAGGATTTATACTCGTCCTTGCGGATGCACCTGGTGCAACTGCCGAGCTGGTTGTCTAATTTTATGTTGCGTCGCTTTGGATGCGGAGCTTGATGTTGATCATCAAACTTGCGCAGATGAAATACGAGACATTCATGGAGTTGACTCTTCCTCTTTGCACAAGAGATATTACATTAAAGTGTATGGTATGGGCTTTTTTGCAGAGTCTATTCAGCAGCCACATACACAAGCGCAAGTGATTCTCACGTATAGAATACCATTGTTCACCCCTTCCCTTGTTTCAGCTGTGGCACAATATGCCACTACCTCTTTCTAGTCACATGTAATGTCAAAACTGATCAGTCAAAGAGCACAACGTTCCACGTCAAATACAGATTCACTCAGGGATCCGAAAAGAATGAACAGTCTGACACTCCACACTGCTAGTCACTACTGGTATCCAGCAGAATCTTCCACCTACCATCAACAGTCGAGTTCTTCCCTACTAGACAATCGGGTGAAGGTTGTCGTCTCCGTGGAACAGACACTATACGATGTGGCTGACCTGCTGGAACAACGCTTGGGGATTTGTCTGTCCGGATGCCATTTTTATCTCCAAGATCGGATCAAGGTAACTCAACTTTGTTCTGTGACTTTTGCTTATTTTTTCTAGCTCAGGGGAGAGTCTCCTCTTGTCGAACATTGTGTGGAGATTTCGGGATTGGTGCAATTGTTACTGGAAATCAAGACCGCTCCTGGGGGTTATCCGATCCGGTTGAATGTGGTGGATATACAGATTCCAGAGCAGTTGGATCCTAACAGCGGTGGTGACCGCACCAATCAATCGTATCACGTTCCTGATCACCAGCCTCCCCCAACCGTTCCTCGGGTAGGAAAAAGGAGGCCTGTTTCATGCGATGCGTCATGCTCTTCCCATCCTTTATCATCAGTTGTTCATTATGCAAATTCTCTGGAAATTATCGTTCATCGGCAATTGCTACGTCACTTTTCTAAAGATACGCTCACTCCAAATAACAACTCTAGTCGTTAGGCGCACCACTGGGCCTTGGTCAGGTTGTCAGATAGAATTAAGTTTGTAGCCTATTCCTATCCTCGATGTTGAACACTGACGTCATGCTGTCGATGATGATTATCATGAGCCGTCAGAATTTTCGTCAATACCCTAGTGTTTTTGTTGAAGGTGTAGCAAGAGGTGTATAGAACCGTGCACCATAGTCGTAAGCCTCCGTTGGCCCGTGTGACATTTCACTGACGGTTTCTCCCCTTTATCAAACGCCATCTCCTAACCCGTTCCACTCCTGGTATCCCAGGGCACCAAGCGAACGTTAAGCTAAAACTGGTGTGTCCCCAAAACCAATTCACTTGTTCTCGATATGCTCATGTTTTACCACTGTCCTGATATCCAGGGGTCCTTAATTGTGCTAAGTGACGCACAGTTGTCGTGACATTCTCAGAGGATTGGAAAACAGCAGCGGAGTCAAACCAGTCAGTGATGACTGTGATGTTCGTTCTACGGGCGTTACGTGTTGTTGAGTTTGTGGTTGTGTTCATCACCACGCGATTCTTCGTGGGGAATTGGCTCCAGAGAATCATGGTAGCAGATCGATACATGAACCAGTGGTCGTAACTAAATGTGTAACCGGAAGGAAATATGGCGACTGAGATCCTGCTAGGTTCCCAAAGCCTAGACAAAAGCCCTTGGGATACAGTGGTTGGGTTCGAGTCACTAAAATTCCGACCAGTAAGTTCGCTCGTGCCCATCCGTGTGTCTGTTCGGTCATTTCGTAGAACTACTACAACCATTGTTCGCTTCAAGCGCGAAAAGTGATGATTGGTCGGTTTTTAATCCGCTTGCACGAATATACATGCATCTATTTCGCATCAAGAGACCTGCTGGCCGGTGTTTTGTTTTGCCGCTCATTTAGCTGCATACAATCCCAGCGGCAGCCATGAAAATGCGGGTCACTAGTTGATATCAGTGTATGCTGAGTGGTGTTTCGGAGCTGTCTCTCACGAATGCCATTTTACATGCCCGTCACGGATTAGGCCACTAGATGGACCAAGTGGTTGGAGCGCGAATTTACTGACCGGAAAGTCCGTGGTTCGAACCCGACCTCTGCCTCTCGATTTCTTCTGTCTAGGCTTGGGAGACCTGACAGTATCCCAACCCTCGTGCCTCATTTGTATGGCACGGCAGCTGGACACCCAAAGGGTACTACAGCTGAACGGTTTTTTAGGCCACCAGATGTCAACGTAAAATGAGCTAAACAATTGATTAGATCATGCCCTAATGATGATCTTTGTGGAGAGAACGCACTCCTAAAGGTGTGGAAACTCGGTAGATGTAATATTTAGCAGTTGTAGTTCTGATTGTGTGGATTTTTGTTATCGATTTGTAATCTTTCGCAGGAGTAGTCATTATCAATGGTATTGTTCGCCCAAGCAGGGGCGTGGATTTTGCCTGTGTTCATTTGCGGTACGCCTTTAGCCAGCATTTTACAGCCGCATAACTAGTACGTTCCTGACAATGTCGTTCAGACGTGACGGCTGCCGCGCAAGACACCAGTGAACTGCTTAAGTGTTTTGGAACCTGACTCAGATAGCTAACGTCTCAAATACCCTCGGCCGTATTAGAGCTGTGTGCTCCACTCTTCGGTCATTACTCAGCTTTGTTCAGATTACCTCAACATCTAACGTGTTGAGTTGAGATGAATTACTGGCCCACATCTGCATCTCCTGAAGTTCGTTAATTGCCACCGTACTGTTCTAATTCCCAGTGGAGATCCTGTCAGTTCAGTAGAACCAGTCTGTTGAAAAGCAATGTGCAGCAGTTTCATCTCTGTTGGGAATCACTGCGCAGTACGCACCCGACGATACTCAGAAAGTCTCGAATTCGCCACCTTTCAGTGGTGGAACACTTGGTCGTTCGGCCGTGAATAGCTGATCAGCACTGTGATTGGCTCTCACCTAGACAGAATATAGCGTCGCTTACAGCAGTGAAGCATCGGTGTTGAACACCGATGTCTTGCTGTCGATGATGATACCACTCATCCTTCAATCATTGAAGCCACGTCATGTGATCGCCTGCTGACTGGCTCCTCAAGAGACGACTTCTTAGAAGGAAGTTTCACTCATCTTGTCAAATTATTCTTCCTCTGAGCTAATTATTGATTGATAGTGGTTAGAGGGGGTTGTAATTCTGATCGAATTTACCTGGTTACTGCCATGGACTGGTCTTTTCGTTCACCTTCTGATGGCGCTGTACCTCTTGACCTCGCAGCTATGTGCAACATGTGTTCGAGCATCCTTCCACTAGTCGCTGACCTCCGAAGCCCAGTCTAGCTGGCTTCCATTGGAGTATTAGCGCCTCACACAAAGACGAGATGAGTAATCCTCAGAAATCCGTCCAAACTGGTTGAGTGTACTGATGCCAACGAATCATCAGGGGGTATTCCGAAAGCTAGTTTTTGGTTTTACCACATGGATTTCAGTTGAAAGATGTGTCCGGCACCTTGAACTGCGGTAGCTTAGTCAGGCACCGCGAATTTCGGGGTATCGTCTACCAAGAAGAATGCTGTTTTGTAGGAGGGGCTCCGACCCGCCTTCCAGAGGT